CGTTGGCTCTGGGGGAACGGCATGTGCTTCTTCCGACAAGCTCTTGCTTTTCGGCGACTCGGGAAAAACGCCAGGCATCGTATTCTGCGCCTGTGCTTCAGCCCTCTCTTCCTCGGCCCTCTGAGAATCACGCTGGTCACGCTGGGCTTGACCCGCCGCCCAGGCAGCTTCCCTCTCCTGCAAGATACGCCTCTCTTCCTCGACCTGTTTCTGGCGCTTATCTTCCGCGATCCTAGCTTCTTGGGCTTTTTGTCTGAGAATACGTTCCACGTTGTAACCTCTAGCCCGGAGTTCTAAGAGCTCGGTCTTTAACAGCATTTCTAATGTGAGGATTGAGTGCAGCTTCGGTCGCTTCAAAATCAAATGTGCCAAGGACTGGCTGATCTCATATAGGTCATATCGATCAGGGCAGATGCACAAAACTAGACCCGCTGTCTGCTGTGCGATAATTGCATTTCGTTTCTGCGTGTGCGATACCCGGCGCCCCTTCAACGATCTCGTAAGACTGATCGAGGTCACAACCTGGACTTTGAAAGAATTCTCCAACCATCGGGCTCCATGTAGAACGGAGTCTGCAGGTTGATCATGCAAGAAAAGCCGTGCACGTTCTAGGATCAACTTCTCTAGTTTCTGTGCAGACGTTTGGTCGGAGGCGATGCTGCCAAACCGCGTTTGTTGTTCAACAAGACCGCTCAAGGACATAGCCCCAAGAGCAGCGTAGAAGTCCTCCAATGTCTCTTCTTGCGGGGCGGCGAAGATATGTTCTTTGAAGAGGTTGAAACTTTGGAAATCATCTACCACGACAATATCTCTGGCGGAGGCGAGACTCCATTCTTTGATGTCCATATTGTCCTCTTCGTCATGGACTTCCTTCACGTATGGCTTTTCTTTGCTACCATAGTTTGACGCAGTGGGCGGAATGTCTCGACTAGCGAGAAGGAATTTTGCGCTCCGCATTTCATTAAAAAGAAACTTATCCTTCTTCAATGCCGGGAATTGCTCAGCAAGAGTCCTAAGAAGCATGAGGTATTTCTCCGAACTTTGGAATGCAGCAGATATGCGAGCGGGCTCTTTGACCAGCATGCGTGCAATCTCAATCTTGGTTGGTTCTCTTTTTGAGCCAATGGCCATTAGGAAGAGATTCGCCTCCTGGCCGAAATTGACAAAGTCAAATATGTCCTTGTAATCTTCCCCGTCTCCAAGATAGCACACCCTAGGGGCCACAAGCCGGTGTTTGGCTCCCTTGTCTGATTGATCACGGATGGGGATTGGGATGATGGGAGCTTGGCTGATGCGGCTGATATCCTGTTGTCTCAGATCGGATACCCTGCCTGCTAGATATTTGAATACAATCCGCGCATCCCGTTGGGTAGTCGGGGGCTGCTTCTCGAGAATTTGAAGACAGTCCGTCATGGGAGGATGAGGCTTGACTCCCAGTCTAGAGGCATGGGGGTGGAGATTCTTTCTGAGAAGCTTGAAACCGAACAAGGTAGCACCTTCATCAGTAAAGCACTTCCTCGGGGCGCTTAAACTTTCAGATCCTTCAATGGGAAGGAATGGCACTGTCACCGCACTGATGTCGAACGAAGCATACCCATTTGTATAGTATTCGCCAATGAAATATGCCAGAGCTTTGCTTGATCGACTATCTTTCTCTTTGCTCCCAGCTGACATGAGCATTACGAGCTCAACAGCTGATGGGTAACTCTGGAGCCCCATCATTGTAAGGAATTTGCCCTCATTGCTGCTGTTGGTGAAAATCCCCGGCCACTCAATAATCGGTAACCCGAGAGCTCGGAGTGCATCCTTCGGTTCATAAAGCTCGGAAATCTTGTAGCGTGTGCCTTCAGTGCCGCTTCCACGTTCGGCAGTACAAATGCTCGTCCCCTTGAGTCTCTGGATATCGTTGGCGGGAATGTCCTCTTGTACAGAGGCAAGGTATCGGATGAGATCAACGTGATTCCATTTCCTGGACGTAGGACCTTTCACATCACCAGAAGTTGGGGTATTGATCAAACGATCAAAGATCACACCAAGCTCCACGGTTTTGCGAACCCCAAGTTGAACCAAGATTTTCTCCTTGACGCCATTCAGGCCATGAACCACAGGCAGGTCGTCAAAAAGGCGCACGGAAGCAAAATATGTCTGCGCAGGCTGCTTCATCCCGAATTTCGTGGGTATCACAGTCTGGGGTTGAAGTATTTCGATAACGCTTTGCTTTGAAGGTTGACTTAGAATTTCCCACTGCTTTGACAAAACAGGCAATATCTGGCCCGAAAATGTTGCCGACTGGGTGATATCTTGATCTATTGAGAACACACCGCGGTTTCCGCAATTGCTGACGATCCACCTGAGCCAAGGAACGACTTGGAGCTCAGCCCATCCAAGTGCCTCCAATTCATGCTTGCCCAAAGTCTTGGTGAACTTGAAAGGTATCACGCTGGGTGGTACGGGCAGTTCCGCTGGAATGCGCTGAGGGTTCAAAAAGGCTGTGATGTCCGCAAAGATGATTAAGCGAGTTGGGACTCCCTCTTTGTCCTCGTCATTAGCCACCGCTACGCGTAGTAGACTCTGAACCGAAGACCTATCAAGCTGGCCAGCAGTTGTCTTACGGCCAAGCCATGAAATGAATTCAAGGACTTGGTTGGATCGTAAAGTGTTAGACTCTAACTCGCGCTTAATGTCTGATACTGTGATTTCCGTGACCAACCCGAAATCTGTAAGCCTTTTAACAAAATCTTTCGAGCCCTGCACAAACTCCCCAGGCAAAGCAGGAATTGAGTCCATGAAACTGAGATCTTTGGGTGCGATGCGCGTCTGATGACTAGGGATGACACCACAGGTAGAGAGGACCTCAATAGAAGCATTCTTGTTGCACATCCAGAAAGCATCTTCGATCGTCTGTCCCAGAACCGAAGATGGGGTAGATTCACGGAATACAAATTGGTTTGCAGTGTGAATAGCCTCCGGTAGTACATCCACAATGTTTTCTTTCCGAATTTTAGATGAGCGCGATGGTCCAACTTTGGATGCGAGTTTCGATTTGATTGTAGCCATCTCCGCGGACCAAGCGATTCGACATACAATACCAACTGCTCTCAACATTTCGAGATTCCATTTGCTGATGTAACGAGTGTTTAAATCTATACTCTCTCGCTCCACGGTAGGAATGACAGATGGAGCAGAGACATGGGCATTCAAGCCAGTCGTCTGCTGTGTTGGGAAACCAATGAAGACTCTTCCACCTTTCGAGGGTAAGATTGATGACAGAACCTCTGATTGCGATGAGGACCTTCCAGTTGCCATGTTTGCATCATAAGAAGGTGTCAGAATTGCGAGCGTTGCCTTTTTGGGCGGAGGTTTCCGTGTGGCTCGTTCCAATTCTTTGCTCAGATCTCTACTGATCGAAGGTACGAGCGAAGCCGTGTTGATATGGAGAAAGACTGATGCTGAGAGTATAGTGTTCATGCTACCTGAATCTTCCTGACGCACAGGTTCCGGATTCTGGCCATTGGATGGCTTCTCGGGTGTAGCCTGCGTGAACTTAGAAAAGAAACTCCTCAGTGAGCTGGTTGTATCTCGAAGATTATCAAGGCGGAACAAGCTTGCATTCGGATTCCATTCCACAATTCGCATCCATGAAGCGTCGACCTGCGCAATCTCTCGAGTGACATTGACAACTTTCATCAAACCTTCAGCAGTTTTAGTGTCAATGTCTCGCGGGATCGGGACATCGACACTGGGAGCCGTCTTTTTTGATAACTCCAGTAGTTTCCAATCATCCAACCAAAGTTCGATCTCTTGCAATGAGACAAACGTCAAACTGCTCGATAAGAATTGACAGAGCTGCAACAAAGATGGAACCGGGGAGGAATCATTGCGATAGTCCAATACAAAAGTGGTATCTTGACTTGCGACTTCGCCAAGGTCCAGTCGGCGGGTAAACAACGCATTCCCCTTCCAATAGAATGCCATGGCTTGACTACCAGAAGACACAAACGGCTCCTCGCAATCATCGAAGACACTATAGAAGCCCACTCCAAATGCGCCGATCTTCGTTTCATCTGGATTTCCGTCTGCGATCCGCTTCAATCTTGCCCAATCCTTTTCACTGAATGGAGCGCCGTTATTTGAGATCAGAACACGTCGAAGAGTATGGTTGGTGATGGTATGTTTCAGATGTGCGGTGGGATCATTTGATGAAGGTGACGGTATTGTGGTCGATGGAAGGGTCTCAAACTTGATCGTTACCTTCGTTGCAGAGGCATCGGCGGCATTTTGAATCATTTCTCGGAGGACCGTCCTATTTACAACAGGTAGGTTAATATTTAGATCTGAAGTTAGTAAATCTCTGGTTCATACCATTTCCCGGAATAACGAGCAAGCACTTTCGAAATCAATCCTCTTGTGTCCACCGTCACTGCTTCCTCATCGGCACCAGACCCCATGGTCCGCGCCTTCAACGCGTTGAAATCCACCTTCGTCGCCATTTTGGAGTGTATGGGTTCTTTATCTGGTTATATCTAAGCTGTGTATATCAACCAGGTAGAAGGTCCATCTACACCTCTGTATGAAAGCAGATGAATGACAAATAAGATCGAGGTTGTCTAGGCTGCCGTAAAGATCATAGACTTGGGTGCACTGTTCGCATAGATCGTGAAGTGGTTATGAAGACCGAGAAACCAAATTTCATAGAACGCTGAGCAGGGTCTAATATCCGGTAAAAACAAGAAGAAATACACAAAGAAAGATGATGCGGTGAGAAAGAGCGAATAGTTGGCCTGGGGGAAAATGCGGAGTTTACGGGTTTATCTTATCGGATGTCCAATTGCCACCACTTTCCGCTTTCATCCCGAGTATCGTGTGTACATGTATTCATAGGAGCCCCGGACCCGCTTCTTGCCCTCTCGCAATCTCCCCTATCGCATGAAACCTGGAAGCCTGCATAGGTAATTGTGTGGATGTGGGCTTAATATCCTCAATTTTTCTCAACTGACAGGATGGGTGTTGACCCTCTGTCCCCAATTGCGCCCGTGCGCCTCAGGGCGCTCCTTCTTCCCATCGGCAAGATCAAGCGCTCGCGCTTTTTGAGCTTCGCTGCTCGACTACAAGCTGAAAATGTAGTTCGACTAGGAGATATAAGTCCCGATGCGCGACCGAACAGAAGTATGCCCTACAAATGATCGCGAGAAGCTTGCGGGTATTGCTGATATATACTAATCTTCTGTTGTTTAGACATGTTCTCACCGCTGGCGTTTCCCACCGGAATGATCCTTTATGACCTCTCCTTCTCAGTTCCCCCGACTTCGCATCTCGAACTTTTCCCCTTTGAGCTATACAGAGAGCCCTTGGTGATCATTGCGATCGCAGATGGGGCCGAATTGCCTGAAAGCACTGGCGACGAGCAGAATCATCCCACTCCGGAAGGATTAGATCAGTTATTGGAAGAACTCGAGGGGATGAAGGAGAGGAATCCACGAGCTTTGGTAAACCAACTTCTGGTCTTTGATCACCATGGCTTGGATAAGATCACAAATGGACCAGATAATGTCCTCTGGGTTCCTCCGCCGCATGCTTCCAAGGCGACGACAATGAAGACAGTTCTCTGTGATATCACGTCAGTCTTGCTCTCCGAAATGGATGAGTTTGCAAAGACTATCCAAAGCATACCGTCAATCGAGTCACCAAAAGCATCTTCGTGGGGCCCGCACCGCAACCCAGAACTACGGCCACGGCCAGTAGACCGACTTATGAATCGTATGACTCTGCCTGCACAGTTACCATCGAGCCCAAACGGCACACGGGACGGTACTCCACTGAGTTCCAACGCTAGCTCCCCAGCTCCTAGCGATCATGAGACCCCTACAACGTTTGATGAGATCACTCGGGCAATTCACCTATCCAGTCGTACGAATTCGGGCAGATCACCTTCAGTATCATCGCCAAAGGAGCATAGTCGCGACAGGATGTCTGTCAGTGGTATGAGTGCTACTGACAGAACTAAGAACCGGATCAAGGGACGTGCCGGGGTGATAATTGGAACTCTTTTCCTGCAGGCGGGAAGGTGGCCCGATGCCCTCAAAGAGCTCACAGAAGCCGTGAACAATGCTCGAGCAAGCAGCGACTACATATGGCACGCTAAAGCCCTCGAAACAACTCTTCTTTGCCTGCTGATGTTTGGGTGGGCAGGCATGGACTTCCAGGTATGGGAATGGCCAACAACGCCGCCAAATACCCTGGCTACTTGGGCCAGATTGCTTACTTGCTTACTAGATTCCATCAGTCCTCTACCCTGTTGCGGACAAATCCTCCAAACCTTCCCGCGACTCAACAACCCCTAGTAGCGCTGGGAATAGGATTATCTCTCTACACAACCTAGCCAATCTCTTGCCGGATCTCTCAAACAATATCTTGAATCTTTATACCCGCGCTGCAAATATCACAGATGAACCCCTTCCGCAGTTGGTGTTTTCGGAGACGGTGATTCGCTTAGCTCGGCTAATGGTGTCAGCTCGCGTTCGCGATGGAGCTTTGGATGACAATGCTCTAAAGCATATCGTGATGAATGAACATTTGGTTCCATTGCTCCAGCTAGAGCTTCCCCGGGGAACTGTTTTGCTCCGCAAGTCCGAGATTGCCAACTTTTTATACCGGGCTTTGCCCGTTGCCCCTGGTGTGGGCCTACCTGCGACTGACGCTGTTCCCATCATCGTTGGCGTTGTTGCTGTTCTTAATATTCTTGAACTGCCTAGGAAGAAAGCATTTATCCTGCGTGAACTTCTTTCGGTAATGGTACCAAGTCTAGTACAAGCACGCAAAATTGGTGCTGCGGAGGTGGGCATTCACCCCGCTGCCGGGTTGGCGTCTCTCAGCGATACCGCATTTGATGTCAATGCCCTGGATACAGGCTCCGGCAATATGGAATCAAGTGTGCGTCTCCTTCTTGCGACCATTGGAGATATCTACGGAGTTCAACCTTCATCGTTCGCCGAATGGGAGAAGAGACAAAGCCAATCATCTGATGTGAGCGGGCATCAGGAACACACTGAATATGATTCGGTTGCTAGTATTGCCGAGCGCGCATTTCGACATGTAGTTCTTGATCGCTATGGTGATCTGAACTTGAAAATTGATGTTTTGAAAGCATGTATCAACTGCTGCGAAGCCCTTCCGGACTTCAATGGAGTTCTTCGTTTCACAGTTGAGCTTTTGCAGACTATCCGGGGAGATATGATGCTGGCTGAAGCACACAAGTCCCCGCCGTATCTACCGCAAGATGAACAAGTCCGTCTTTTGAACAACATTAAGCGTACCGTGGGTGCAGGCACCAGACTAGGTGTTTCTGATATGGTCGCAGAGTACTGGGATGACTTCCTAGTACGTGATGTTCAATTATTGTCGCTACCAGATCCTAAAAGACCTGTTCGGCGGTCCAAATCTGAACTGGATGCGGTAACCACAAGTTCAGACAAGGTGAAAAAGGACCCATTCCTGTACAACCCCTTCGCCAAGCCCACTAGCAAAGCATTGGAAATCCTCACCGTGGCTGATGAACCTGCATCATTCCAAGTGACTCTTCAAAACCCATACGAATTTGAGATTGAGATTGAACATTTGCGCCTTGAGAGCAGTGGTGTATCATTTGACGCAGTGGCAGAGAATTTTGCCATCGCCCCCCCTCTCTGTGCAGGAAATCACTGTTCCTGGCGTCGCCCATGAGGAAGGCAGTCTTCAGATCACAGGATGTATTGTGAAAGTGCGAAACTGTCGAACGCGAAGATTCCCCATCTTCAAGACGTTCTGGAAACCTGAACCCGAGGTCAAAATAAAGCGAACAGGTTTGGGGGCAAAGAAGCCTCTGTCAGAGCGCCCGGTCTCCTGGGCCTCGACGACCTCAAAGGATGGCAAGGTTGATGTCAAGAAAGGTCCTGAAACGTCAACGTGTGAAGTCAAGGTCATTGCCAAACAACCGTCACTTGTCATCGAATCTATGTCTCTATCGCAGTCCGCGATGATGGTACTTGAAGGTGAAGTCAAAACCTTCACTGTTACACTTCAAAATGCCTCTTCTTGCCCCGTGGACTTTGTGCTATTCACCTTCCAAGATTCAACCACTAGACAGCTACAGTCTGCACTAAGTAACAAGGACCTGTTGCCGGTCGAAATCTACGAGTTGGAGCTCAAATTAGCAACCAAGCCCGCTTTGCGATGGCGCCGGCAGGGCCAGGACCCCGGTGACTGTTCGATTGCAGCAGGCCAGAAGGCAACATTTACCGTGGACGTTCTCGGAAAGCCTGGTCTGCAGGACACGACAGTCCAGATCGACTACTCCTATGTTGGGACAGCCCCTGGCAAATTGCCCGATATATTCTACACCCGGCAACTGTTTGTGCCGTTGACAGTCACGGTCAATGCGAGTGTGGAGGTCGCCCGCTGTGATATTCTTCCGTTTACCGGTGACTTTGCCTGGAAGAACCAGATTGAACCACCTGTTGACTCTATACAAACCCCGAATGCGTTACTCTCTACCACTGACAATGACCCCTTCTCCCAAATTCTCGGGCGTCTCGGCAACGGGCCTTATGGACCTGATCACTGTGTTGTATTGCTAGACCTGCGCAACGCCTGGCCAAGCCCCCTGTCAGTGTGGTTGCGCGTAAGTGAACAAACAATGATAACTATCCCACCGAAGAAGATGACCAAGGATGATTTCAAGGGCAAGTATTCTGTCGATGGAGAGCTTCAACCCGGCCAGGTTTCTCGATTTGTTCTGGTTTTGCCTCGGGTCTACTTAGACAACCCACATGCCTCTATTCCCGTCGTCAACACCGGTACTCGGCGACAATTCGTCGTCAGCGCCAACAAACTATCCTTCGAAGCCGAGGCGGCCTCGCGCGAAGCCTTCTGGTTCCGGGAAGAGCTTCTCAACAGAGTTCTCGGGGGCTGGAAGGAATCTGCCACAGGCCGTGAGGGATCCATTGACCTCCGAAACATCCGACTGAACAACCGTATGGTTGAAGCTATGCGCCTTGAAGATGTCGAAATGAAATTCTCTTTGACTTCATCATTTTCCCCCGAGACTTCCGACGCAGTGGAACAAACGGGCCGCTCACGTTTCCGCGTCAAGACCGACGACCTCCTCACCTTACATGTCACTGTCCACAACCGCTCCTCCCGCCCCATCCACCCTCTCCTCCGTCTTCAACCCAGCCTCCGCCACCAACCCAACAATGTCGCTCTAGATCTCACCCGTCGTCTCGTGTGGACCGGGATGCTGCAACAGGCACTCCCCATTTTGCCAAGCGGCGAAAGCACGAAAGCCTCAATCGGTGTTACGGTTCTCTGCCGCGGCGAATACGAGTTTGGCGCCAGCGTTGAGGAAGCCCGACTCCTCCGTCCGTCTCTCGACGATGATGGTGAAGGTGACGATTCCGCTCCCCGCTTCAACGATGATGGTATCATGGATACTTTTGGTGCGGATGTAGTGCGGCGGCGACACATTTGGCACGCGAAGGAATTGTGTATTATTCATGCAAGCGATGCATGATCTTGATGTGTGATTGTTCTGATCTGATCTGTCATTTCAACAAGAGCATAAACATCATATCCTGTCTAGCTTCCTTTTTTTTTCTTCTTGTCTCTTAGCTTAATTCATGACCATGTAGCATACCCCCCCTCTGTACAAACCTCTGATACTTCAAAGTTTGCCAGGGAATTGCAAATATATTGAAAAGTGAATGGATCTGAGGTCCAGTGTTCTGATGGGTACCAACCCCAGTTATTTGCAACGCTTTTCTATTGGTTCCGAGGACGCTCCACTATCGCACAAGGTTTACAGGGTTCGAAGGTTCGAAGGTTCCAAGGTAGCCCATCTGATGTCCCATGGGGTCAAAAAGGCTATTCTCATGGGACAATAGTTACATGGAGGTGTAGTGTAGGTACTATACATATACTTAAGGAGGTACATGGAGTAGTTCACGGAATACGCCTACATCCGATATGCTTTAAATTGGTCATATAGATAACATCTAGATAACTCTTTCCTCTTCCTAGATAAACCAACTACATATGTAGATAACAGTGAGCCCTCTTAATTATCGTGTGCGGGGCTCTTTTATGTAACATGACAATCGCGGGCTTTTCCCCGCACTTTGTATAAATAGCCCCCATGTCCCTAAAGAACTTCATCTATTGATCTCTCTCTCTCTCTGCTCGCAATCATGGCCCAAACTCACCTCCTTACATTAACCTATAAAGGCGACCATAACAAGCCTGACACAGTCCATGAAACTCAAAACTTCGTCGACAATGAGCTGGTTAGCTCCACAACAACCAAATGGATCGAGGTCCACGACCCCGCAACAAACAATGTCGTCTCTCGAGTCCCTGAAACAACCCCTGATGAGTGCAAGGCCGCGGTCATTTCAGCCCAAAACGCATTCCCGGCCTGGAGAGATACCAGCATCATGAAGCGACAGGAGATGATCTTCAAATTGACCAACTTGGTCCGCGAGAACATGGATTCCCTCGCAACTTCCATCGTCACGGAACAAGGCAAGACTTTCGCCGACGCAAAGGGTGATGTCCTCCGTGGGTTGCAAGTGTGCGAAACCGCCTGCGGAATTACCACCCAGCTTCCTGGGGAGGTCCTCGAGGTAGCCAAGGATATGGAAACCCGTTCCTACCGTCTCCCACTTGGTGTTGTTGCCGCTATCTGCCCATTCAACTTCCCCGCCATGATCCCACTCTGGAGTCTCCCCATTGCCATTGTGACTGGTAACTGTCTGATTTTGAAACCGACCGAGCGCGCCCCCGGTGCTACTATGATCATCGCTGAGCTCTGCAAGAAAGCTGGCTTCCCACCGGGTGTTGTGAACGTCATCCATGGTTCCAAACCAGCTGTGGACTTTATCTTGGATGCACCGGAGATCAAGGCCATCTCCTTCGTTGGATCCAATAAGGTTGGCGAGTATATTTACGAACGTGGTACCGCCAACGGTAAGCGTGTTCAGGCGAATCTGGGTGCTAAGAACCACGCTGCTCTGCTGCCGGATAGTAATAAGAAGCATGCTTTGAGCGCTATTGCTGGTGCGGCTTTTGGAGCGGCCGGTCAGCGCTGCATGGCGCTTAGCGTATTGATTACAGTTGGTAAGGCCCGCGAATGGCTGCCTGAATTGATTGAGAACGCCAAGGGATACCAGGCTGGGAGTGGGTTCAATGCCCGCTCTGATCTGGGTCCGTTGATTACACCCCAAAGCCGAGATCGCTGTGTGGACCTCATCACCAGTGCAGAGAAGGAGGGTGCTACCATCGCCTTGGATGGTCGGGACCAAAAACCTGAGGGTTTCCCTAACGGAAACTGGGTATGAAAGTCCTTACGTTAACATCCGCTTTCATGAAACATCCTGCTAACACGCTAAATCAATAGGTCGGCCCTACTATCATCACCGGAGTGAAACCCGAAATGCGGTGCTACCAGGAAGAGATCTTCGGTCCTGTCTTACTTTGCGTTGAAGCCGATACAATCAACGACGCAATTGACCTGATCAACAGTAACGAATGGGGCAACGGTGCAGTCATCTTCACCCAGTCCGGATCTAGCGCAACACACTTCCAGAAGCGTGTCGAGTCTGGACAGGTTGGAATTAACGTTCCCATCCCCGTCCCCCTTCCCATGTTCTCCTTCACCGGTAACAAGCGCAGCGTGGCTGGAACGGGAATGCTTAACTTCTATGGCAAGGATGGTATCCGATTCTACACACAGTGGAAGACTGTCACGTCTCTTTGGAGAACTGAAGATGCTACTGATCTTGAGAAGCCAACCTCAATGACTTGATTAGCTCGTGATAACTTGCATACGGCGGACTTGGAAAACATATCTCGGGATTAGGGTAGAAGATCCTTGATAGGCGCAAACATGTCTCGGGCATTTTTAGATCATTGCATGAATAGGGGTTTACTGGCAGAAGCTTCGCAGATTGAAAATACCAACATTGACGAAAATATGTAGCATGTGTCTAGGTGTATAGTTCATTGATATTTCCTAACCAGCCTACTCAGGCGCCTGCCTAGTGGCCTCCTGGGGTCTGGTTATACGACAAGCCTTCTTGGATGTCTTTCGGGGTACCTTGTTTCCCAGTGCCAGTCTCATAGCCATAGTGTGTGTAAACAGGAATCCTTAGGTCATTTACTTCAGGACAATTAGTTGACTCGAAACAAAAACGCCGATTTCCCTCGGATGTGTTAACTCACACACCACACATTAAGCAGGCGTAAATTGCCTTCACTGTATGTGCGAATTTTACCAAGAGTTTGTGCTCCCGAAATTTGCAGTCCGGGCGAGAAGAGCGCAGAGGCTCGAGTTTCTCCTCAGCTCCCCTGTTTATTCATTCCCGATTTTCACCCCGGTCAACCGCCGCAGCAAAATTTCTCACAAGAAGCGTGAGATGATTGGATTGCAAGACAAAGAGAAACACTTATTTCCTTGGCAGCTGCACACAGCCATTCCGTGAGACGTATCTCGACAAAAAAAATCTCAGCGTCGCTGTGATATGATCACCTGTGTCCTACAATCATGTTTAACAATATACCCTCGCAAATACTTCATCTAACTGCGTGCTATTTCGAAACTAAAGATCTTTACACCTTGGTATGCTCATCACGTCTGCTGTACACCGTATCTCAACGAAGCCTTTACACCAACGTGAGTCTTCGCGGATGGAAGAGTAGGCGCAAGCAGTGAATATGTTTCTATATGCTGTGACCCGAACGCCGAGACTGGCTAGCTATGTTCAGTACCGGACGGTGGGGGGCTGGAACACAGAAAATTCCACAAGGCGGAATGTGCAGAGAGCTGGATTCGATGACAGTCTTGTATGCAGGCTAGTCCGGTAGAGCGGGATATTCCGACGAAGAGAGATCTACATGGTTGAGCAATCTCGAACTGGATAACGAAGATGCTTGGCTGGCTCTGCTCATTCCTCAATTGAAGGAATTGCAGAGACTCGACCTCACCTGGCCGTTCGACTCCCACTATGTTGTGGCTATGTTGCAAAAAGCTGCAGCTGATTCAGAACCGACATTTCCTCATCTCGGGTCGGCATTTGAAGATTGGTATGATTCAAGAAACTCGTTCCCATCGTATTACATGGACCCATTCTTCACTTTCCCGTCAATGCGCAAAGTAGGCTGCTATAGGGTTGCGGAGCGTGAGGGGGGGCGGTGATCATGCGTCTGTGCCTGAATCGGATGCCCCTAGAGCTCCGATGCAAGGAATCATCTCACCACGGTGCTCGAATATAACCGACGTCGACTTCCAGGAGAGCAATGCTCTGGGGGAATTGAGGAAGTGGATCCAGGCTTGCAAAGCACTCAAACCATTCCGTCTTGTCCATGGTAGATTCATGATCTCCGGTGATGACTTTCAGCCGCGGAAAATCCACGGATCGCTTTCACTCCACAAGTCGACGCTGGAGTATATTTGGGTCGAGCCTTGTCAAAATGACCTGCATGACGGCGCTGGCGAGTGGATGGGTTCATTCGTTGATTTCACCGCTTTGAAAGTTACTTTTTCTTCCTTGGCCAACCTTGTGGAACTCGACGAGCTCGGTTCACCCGTTCGAAAACTTCAGGTTGTCCTTCGTCGTTGGAGACCCTCTATGTTTCTGTCGAGGACGACCAACCTTTCAATTTAGCTGTTGATCTGCTGGCGGAATTCGCTGCCTTGAAGAGCTTCCCCAGGTTTGCTACGATACATCTTGAATACTGGGTTTTCGGGAGGCGAGAATGTGGGAAGGGTCCGAAGGGGCAGACCTTTGGATATACAATGTTTGACAGGTGATTTTGACCATTTTCAACAAGTACCAACTTATTGCTCCTCTCTCCAACAGCCCGGCCGGGCTAGCTCAATCGGTAGAGCGTAAGACTCTTAATCTTAAGGCTGCGGGTTCGACCCCCGCGTTCGGCTATTCCTAAAACCAAACCTGAGATTTCTTTTTTTCTTTCCTTTTTTTTGCTCGGAAAACGGGGTTTGAGGTCCCACTTAGGGCTCATGTGAATTCTGGGGGTTTACCTAAGCATCGAGAATTTGGTGCCTTGGTCTCGACCATGGTGCTTTGTATCCTGTGAACGAGATGTGATGAAAAGTGATCAGTTTAGCGCCCTCTGATGTGTTAAAGAGCTGCCTTGGCGGTAAGTGGGGTCGCCCCAGATACCCCCGACCATTCCATTCACTTTCTACCTGACAGCCTACCTGGACCTCTTCTTATTTTGACTGTTGATCAACGCAACCTTCCAAGTCCAAACCGTAAATGTTAATTACATCTCTTCCAGTCGAATTGGCGCGTGAGATCTCTACCTATCTCCAGCTATCGGATTTGCAAGCTCTCAGATCAGCATGTCGTTACTTATATCGAGTCTCACTTGATACATTCTCGGATCGGTATTTTACGAGCATCCGCTTTCTTGCAACAAGCGACGGCCTCCGTAATTTAGAAGAGATCACAAAATTAGAAATCGTCCGCAAAAATGTCCGGGAACTGTGGATGATACCCACCGTCTTCGACGGAACTCGTTGGCGGAACAGAAGGATATTGACATTGTTTGAATACGCCTTGTCATCAAAAAGCTGCAATAGCTTGCGTGGAGCTGAGCTGAAAACTCGCTTTGCCATATATAGCGCAATGACCAAAGACAGCTTCTCTCTTCTCAAGTCGAAAAAATTCAGCATTAGACTTCGCAAATGTTTGGATTCTTTGACGAAACTTGACACAATTGGACTTGCCCATTATACGACTCAATTTTTGCTTGATCCACGACAACAAAAAATCAGATTTCTTGGTTGGCGTCAACTCAGAGCTAAATTGGACTGTCGATTCTCTCCCAGAAGCTTAACAAACCTTCGTGGTGACTTCATAGCGACGATCACCTCTTTGGCAATGCTAAGGATTCTTCAAGCAATTGGGCCTCGCCAAAAAATCCGAAAACTGCATACATGTGGTGCTGATAATTATGGTGATATCTTATCAGAGTTGAACCTTCCGCAATCGCAATATAGTCCACTTCTTTCCATGCTAGAAGATCTTCGCATATGCATATACTACCAGAGCCCTATGTTAGCTGAAAAAGGCGTTTGGGACAAAGAGGCTTGGGATCGTGTAGGCTTTGGGATGCTGAGGCCAGATGACCTTTCCGCTGTTCCGACCTGGTTTGATGTGATTATCGAGGTTGCTCCACGTCTGAAAACACTAGCCTTTTCGCAAGGTCACTACCGCTCCTCTCACCAGACATTACATCAGGTTGAACAGCTTTCTCAGTCTGTTCAATTTACCCAGCTTAGAGAGCTTCATCTTCATTGGATTCATCTCACCTCTGGTACCCTGAAGTCATTTCTAAATACTGCTAAGCCCACCTTGAGAGTCTTCACTCTCTTTGCAGTGTCATTGGATGCCAACGAGGATTTGCCAATAAATGATCCGATCACTTCCATGTACTGGCAGCGTCTTTGGGACTTTTTTCGAGACGAGTTGTCATTACAGAGATTTTCCATGGGAAAAATTACTTCTGACCCAAACAAATATTTGATACAAGGACCTGATGAATTGACTAAGCCGAGCGAGAATGCTGAGTTTGATGCCGAAACGGCTGGAACTTCGTTCAGTGAATGGATCGATTCACTGACCCTCGTGTTGATCAATGGATATCACCATCTGTATGACAGGGAATGGATATACCAGGGTATGTAGTTCACATTCCTTCAGCTCCCTGAAGTCTGTTCTCACAAAATCCAGATGAATGGTTCGACAAGATGATACCTACAGAACGCAACCCCTCGAATGCCTTCTTGTGTACCTGCAAAGACAAATCTAGGCCCTGCAGATATCGATGTTTTCAGCAGAACATGAGCTCATGAGAAAGGCTTACTTGGGAAAAGATGGAGAGTCATGGAAGTATATACCTAGTGTGGAAGAGGGATCATTCGAAGGTGTGTCACGAAGATTCATGTTGATTTTGTTAGTCTAGAGAGCATGTCTTCAGATATAAATGCGAGAAATAATGATATATATATATATGCCTTGGGATAATCAAAAGTCCTAAAAACCGGGCATCAAAAGGTTGGACGCTATATAAACATAATTCAGATACAAGTTCAAAACCGAAATTTGTTTGATATCCATATATTGCAGAAAGAAAGTGGAAAATGCCAGGCCAAAAGCACACCTGCACGATTGCCGCCGTACTGACCCCTCAGTTGGTGAATGATCCCAGACCATTGGATAGGGTGCATTCATGAAACACACCGTCTTTTAGCGTCTGCACACTACACCATTCCCATGATGTGTTATGCCTAGTTGATACCCTTAAGTGCTGGGCGTAAAGGTTGCTTGTTTAAATAGAGCGTCCTTTCATTCTCAGCATCTGCCCACACGTTCGCTCTCATAAAATTTACATATCCCGTTTCCATGGAAGATTTTCACCCCCCCCAACAGGCCGAAGCCCGGCAATCCTACTGCACAAAGATTGGGAGAGGTACTTTCAGCATGGCTTCCTGGCACACCTGAGGGAGTTTACGATCAATACCTGCAAACACTCTCTCCTGCTTATGATCATCTGTTGACATATTCACGATATGACCGGATATGGCGCTTTTCAGAACACAGCCGTCATAGCTTGTCTTATCATTCCCAGATTTCTCTCATGTCCTCTCCGGTGTTCGTAATCGATATCGGGGACAGGGATGAAATAACAGATCGTCGTGACTATGATGGAACGGACCCTAACTCTATGAGAGAACTTGAATCATACCTCTCCAATGTGCACCAGGCCTCGAATTATGGCCGTCGCTGTCGCATTATATGCGCACAACATATCACTTGCCTAAGCATGGAAGCGTTGGGAAGTGGGCTCTCTTTGGACCCTAATGTCTTCAGCCATCATATCGGGTCGTCGTTCAAGGACATTGAGAAAAGCACTGGTATTGGGAAGCTTTGCAACAAGAAGATCGAACAGATCCCTTCATCTGTGGGCGCCTTTGAGTTTGAGAAAAATCTACAAATCCTCAAACGTCACCTGGGAAGACTATCCATTGCCAATGTGGAGCATGCAAAAGACCTCACAACCCGGGACTCGATTCTCAAGTCCGTCTACGGCGGCGAAGGTCATCCTATCACATATTCAGTCGATGTGCCACGAACAATATATGTGCAAGGATATCAATCTGAGGATGATAGGACAGAACCTACCGGAAGACATCTGCAGGCCAGGGTGTTGGCACTACAGAGCCGAGTGTTGAATCGTCGCATTGCTCGGCAGAGATTTGTTGATGATAGCATGTTTTGCGACCAAGGGGAACGATATTCACAAAACGGCCTGGATATTCTACAGCACATTACCATTCATGTGATAAGCGACGGTCTCAACACCAACTCTCGACAAGGTAGGGATGACTCTTATGTTTAAAAATGGGACAAAACGGAGAATTTACTTATTCAAGTAGTTTTGGTTTTATTTCCACCCTGTCCGGATCTTGATGGAGACAATGCAGACAACGATCCCTATGTTTTTCTTGACCCTCTCACCAAGCGAGAGAGTATCAAATCATTCAAAGAATTCTGTCAGAGTCGAGATCAGAAGGACCATGTATCTGCCGAGAAATCTACGGTGTCTGGTCAGAAAATGTCTCAAGATGTTGAAATTTTCGCCAATGATATTCTCCTTGAGAATCAGCCAGGAAATGAGGTGGCGGATACTGTCCATCTTGTACGGTGTTATGCTCTGAATGCATGGTTTGATCGCCTGCAGACGTTGAGAGACCAGCTTGAAGACCTGAGTCTCCAAAGTTTATCCCCCCGAGGCACACTTCGCAATGAAGATCCACTGGAATCTGACGAGGAGAGTCACACAGCTGATGGACTACTTGATGAAGAGGGGATGAAAAGTGCTATTCTTTGCTATATCTCTTCACTGGACGGAGAATGTCATCGGTTGGAAACTGATTTGCGTGCGGCACAAGGAGGATCACACACGAACGCTTTTAAATCTGTTCACGCACTAAGTCAAATGATGAAGAAATATACTCACATACGACTGCAGATGAGCAATCTTCTCTCCGAAACCCAGCATTTACTTGATATGAAGACCAGCAAAATGCAACAAGCTTTGATAAGTCTTCAAATCAAAGAAAGCAGAAACTTCATGGAACAGACACAAATAGTGAAGAGGTATGATATCAAGCTACCTCGAGGGGACTAGTACTGACACGTGTTAGGCTTCTCATAATAGCCTTTTTTCTCATACCGTTGTCCTATGTGTGCTTGGCATTTGGCATGAACTTTGGATAAATTGCTTGTTGACCTATTGGACAAATTGGTAGAGTTGTGGAGGGTGGCAAAAATAGCTGCACTAGATGTGTCATTCTACATATCAAGTTCCCACCAATGCGAATTCATTTCTAGTACGGCCAGTGGATACGCCGTAAAAGCATCTTTCGTGTAAATGAAAAGTACCCAGCCTCGTGACGGTCTAGCGTAGCGGCACGGTTTATATGTGTGAACTGAGTCTCAAGTCTTCAAGCTAGAGGGCACGTTCAATGTAAAGTCCTGATACTCGACCGGATGTTGGGTATTTTGTCCAGAATATCCTTAGGGGGTAGAAGTAAGATCCGATATAAGAGTACATTTATTGAATAGCCACATTATTAGCCACATTGGCCACCATAGCCATATTACCCGTCGAACGGAATTCAACAGAGTTTTGCAGATTTTTGGAAGTGCCGTATCATACAGTCAGATTTCTGTTATACATATTAATTTCAGCCAGATACCAACGAGAACAAACACCAGGTTGTCTGCTACCGTGCCTCCTACGCTACACTATATCATACTCAATGTACGCTCTACGATGTCAATGCCCAAACTTTACTTGCTATAGGTTCCTAATGACTAGTAGTTAAAGAGTTCCCAGATACTGGCAGCCAGTATTGATTCCTTTTACCAGCTGTCCCCATGGACTAGGTGTTTAAAAAGAGATGCAAAAAGATCAGCATCATCATTTGACAGTCTGTGTACAAAAAAGTCTCAAGGCAAGTACTAATTACCAAAATATCTGCACGAGAAGCTCAATGGACAGAGTTGAATCGCCCTCGCTGAGGGGTGCAGCAAAAATCATTGTGATGTTGAATCAGCCTCAATAGAGCGTGGTCCACCCTACTGGGTTCTTAGCTCAGGCAAATCCAACAATTTCAACCGATCCTCCCCGATAATCCTCTCTGTTGTGACCCGATCAGGATAGTTCCTCATGAACATGTTTGTGAAGTGGGTCCCGTAGTGGATTGTTTCGTCGGGAGGCTTGCCGTTATAAAGCTTCGCAACTGGGGAGACCACAGCTTGGAAGCTAGGTTCATGAAAGTATGCGAAGGCAAATCGCTCGCGGGTATTAAGACCGACCTTGTGGGGTGTGGAAGGTAGGTACGAGTTCGTCATGAACTGCATGATATCCCCTAATGAATTGACATGAAATGTTTGAATATGTCGAACAAGAACCCTGAAGTACTTCCGGAAGGTGGAAGATACACATACCTGGGAATACTGTGAAGACTCCAGGCACAGGGGGCACATAGACCCAACGGTCATCGTCTTCGCGGAAGCCAGCAGCGCTCTTCTTCCAATTTTCCAGCTTCTCATCGGCCGCGGGGGGCCGGATAAATAGGCCTTGAATGAAAGATAAGTATATGTATACCTATTCATACAAGAGGAATCTCACCTCCAACATCATCCTGGGCTGCAATGACCAAGAGACCGTAGTCTGTATGAGACCCAATGCCGCGGCCATCTTTTCCTCTGCCGTTAGTGTTGTTATTTTGGGGGAACCTAAACGTCAAAGTCAAAATAAATCAAGAGTAATTCTTGAATATTACTTACCTCAAGGTACGGAGATGGTGCCATCCATCCTTGGTCAAGGAAGTCAAAGTACCAGGGTCTAGACTAAGTCCGTATTCAATCATCTTCAGCAGTGTCTCCCCGCTATCGCCTAAGGAGTCCATATACTGTTGTATAGGGGCCTTCATATCAATATCCGGCCAGGGGCAAGGACCATGGCAAGGCCACTTAGCTTCTACCCGAGGCTCGTCCAAAGGAAGGTCCTTGGTGACTGTGAATATCTCTGAATAATCAGCAATACCATCTGTGATCTCCTCCCCAGAGGCAATATAGCCAGCGTAGCTCTGAGTATCCACACAAACAGCCTTTTGTTTGGGAGGTTTAGCAAAGAACTGTTTACTAGCAGCAAAAGCCTTGTTGAAGAGAGCTTGCTGCTTAGGATTCATCGAAACCTAAAGTATACCATCTTCACGCCACGCATTGATCATATCCTTCCCCATTTGAATGTCACCAGGAGATCCGACGGCCGTCTCGGGCAAAGTGAACGTCTTGAGTTGCCCGACATGAGCCACATAATTCGGTGGCATTGTGCTACCCGAGTCGCTTGCAGTAGTCGCGAGGCCTTTCGCCTGCTGGCGCAAAAGAAGTGCTGGGTGGACATGACGAATAGAGTTGTGACCGATGACTGCTAGACGCAGTGCGGCAGAGCCATTCCGATGTGAGAGCATTTTATCAGAAGCTTTTGAATTAGCCTTTCTCTTGAGTTGGTATTCGATCAACTTACTGAATGAATAGCATGAGTAAAGAAGGAATGGTATGCTGCTCCCAACAGTTTACGAAATAGATCTATACTTATAGCCCATTTAGGGATAATGATTAAGGGTGGTATGGGCTTACAGCTTTAAAAAGACGTTGCATGGAAATCCCTCATATCATTTTGCTTGGTAGGGAGTGTTGACGAAATCAATCAATCCCCTTCTAGGTTAGCCGCATGATTTCTTCTTGGTTGAGTGCGTGATACTCTCTTGGCTGACTGTGTGATATCCTCTAGGCTGGCTGGCTGGTGCCCTTTTGGCTTCGGGTGGTGGCCTTGTGGCTGGTGGCTGGCTGCGTGATGCCCTCTAGGATGGCTGCATGATCCTCTACGGGATAGCTACATAGGATACTTCCTGTGAACTAGACTAACTTGGGTAGTCAATCGCAGCCAAGAATAGTATGATGGCACGAATGAATGAGAGTCATCATTCGTGTTTATAGGACTCAACTTCCTCGTGTAGCAATGGGGTAAGAATGATAGATGGTTTAACACGATCTCAAAGGTGATCAAAATAGAAACTCTAGTACCTTAGTAGCCGCAGGTTACACTAGATGGCATTATGGAATTTTGACGATTCAATGTACCGCAATATTTTGTCTGCCTAATACTGATTCGAATATCGATGTAAATTGATGGGTACGACCGATATTGAATCCACATCTTACCTATAGACTTTCGCACTGCCTCAGTCCCGTAACATCTGAGAATCGTTCTCTCGGGTATCTCAGTATCCCCGTGATTCGATTTATTTTATTTCTTTAGTTTCTCATGAAGGATCAAACTTATCGCATCTTTACAACCCCCTTTGTGATTCTGTTACTCTTCAAATATCGGGAGATGCTACGGCCTCCCACCACCCTTTTTCCACCTGCGCTCCCTCGGCTGGATCGGCGGCTCGCTATGCACCTGCGAAACAAAGTGCACCTTCCTAATTAGGAACAACCCACTTCGACGACCGTTTCTTCCTATCGTTATTGACACCACCTGAGGCTGAAGACATGCACAAATGCCTGAGGCTTGTGACACTGTTGGCCTGTAACTCCAGGCTTGAAAACCTTATGAGTCATGATTCATGACTATGATATCTTCAACTCTTCCCGGTAAGCAGATTCGGGAGCCCCGCGGAGTAAAAGTCTCGATGTTCAGATAACTATTTGGTGTATAATGTTAAACAACACCCGTCAAACCCCTAGAATCCTAACCCCTAGAATCCTACAAGAAGTCACCTCAACACTGGTTCTTATAATCATCTAACACGCTAAGGACATTGTAACTCAACTTCGACGGTGCAAAAGCACACAAAATATCCCTCGTTGTCATGTCAAAATCAGCCTGCACCCGATCGGTTGAAAGCAAAAGCTTAGCTACCGCGACATGTCCCCTCACAGCAACGGACGTAAGCGGCGTACGACCCTCTCGGAGTCCTAGGGATCGATCATCCATTGTGTGGTCTCTAACCAATTCTGCATGCCCAATGACCCCTTTCACCCTTAAAAGCGGTCGAGGATTACTACGTGGGGAGTCATTGAATGTACAAATTCTGAAAGATTCACGAACAACAGCCAAAGACAGACTGTGAGCACCGAAGGATATTAAAGGGCTCATTTGAATAATTTCACTACCATTCAAGGCCCAGGCTTTCTCATTCCCCGCGTGAACACTATCCTTTAGGGCCCGTAATCCCGCAATCACCGCAGCTTGAGCAATGACATTCGCGTATTGAGTTAAGCGATCCTTCCATGCAGGATTCAGTTTTCCAATTATCTCTACTATGTACCGAGCAGCAGCCGTCGAATATCTTGGCGGTCTCCAGTAATCATGCCAGGGCGAAAGATAATGCTCCTCTCAAATTCCAACACATTGATATTATCCTCAATATTTCCTTTCATCCGGGCGTATGGGATGCAATACTCATGATTGGCATTTGAGGAGGAAATGAGGACTACGGCAGGTTTTAACCGCCATCGCGCCAACCGGGTTTTTGCCTGGCAGAACATATGTAACAAATCTATGATCCCGTAGATATACGGCCCTATACCTACACAAATCCTTGAATTACGTCAATTCTAGGCCTAGAATATACTATACGGTACAGCGGATAATCATATTTTATCAGGATTAAAGAATTAGAAGTCATCCTATATATTTCTGTTAATTTAAGTGGTATTGTGAAATGTATAGGTCCAATCAATGGTGTTACCATCTCTGTATTATAGTATGGGCTGAAGATTACTAATCTAAAATTACTGAATAGCCGGATTAAATGAATCTCCGGTGTGCCGGTCTATATACTCCATTAGTTTATTTCTTAGACTGCGTATTAAATTAATTTACCTTCGATAGAGCGGTGTGGGCAGTGGTGCTCCTTTAGGCTTTAGATATCAATATTTCCCCCTAAAATGAGGTTCTAAGCCCGGTAGCTGTACAGCTTCCGGGTCCTAGGGGTGATTATACAGGGGTGAGAGCAAGGCGGTGCAATGGGCGGTCAACAGTTTCTATGGGTTGGCGCGATGGCGGTTAAAACCTGCCGTAGAGGACGAAATTCTGGAGCCAGACCGATTCGCTGCACGGGCCAGTTCTAAATGCAATCCATGTTCGATTTGATACTGGGTTTCAAAACCGCCAGCGCTGGCTCGGGTGGTTGCAAAGGAAGTAAAAATGGATCAGTCTCATATTTGGGTCGTCCACTCGGAGGCCTCCCCAGAGATAGATTGGATAAGTTTATCTTTCGCGGCAATGGCTTCTATTTGGGGTCGACTCCCGAGAAGGTATTGATACGCGCAATGGAAGGGCTTGCGAGAGCGATGTTTGAGATCCTGAGTTGTATAGTGTCTTAAACACATGAGCCTGTGTTTTTGTCACTGTGGAACCCAACGATCGCGCTAATGCACATCGACCCACCGTTCCCGCCAAGCTACGGGTGCAAATCTATGAAGCTGAACCGTGAGTAACGTTGAACACCCCAATTGAATGCTATACTTGAACCCAACTTGACTAATGATGTAAAGTACGGTAGGGGTAACTCTGTATCGGACAGTTTCGGAACTAGGTACCGACACGACCCGAGACCAAGCTAAATGCACAGTCGAAAACTTCAATGTTGATAACTCCGAACCGGGATTTTATTTTGTGTCAAGGTATCTGTAGGATATTATAGGCACCTATATGCCTTATGCCTGATATAGATCAACCGTATCAGACATGCATAAAGGACCTCTCCTTCACAGTGTGTTCCAGGCTCTGGATCAGACATGGCAGCTTACCCGAACGAAGGGAGCAACCTTTTGGCACGGATAGCTGATATACACATACGACACCACGGAAATGCTCTTCGAGAAGCAGACTTGAAGAAGGAAAAACCAGGTTTACAGAAGTGCAGGATTGAGATTCTCACAGGACCTTAGACGTACGAAGTGGTACATTTGGGCGTGATATCAAAATATGTCTGAGAAATCAGAACATGTTCCCAAAACTTGAATCTAATTAACTTGTACCTAGCTAATATGATGATCAAGCACATCACATACAGAAAGCCTCATGGTCTCTTTTCATTTCTGTTCCCTACTTCGTAACCTGATATCTTGATTTATGTCAGAAATAGAATGCCCCGGCAATGTCAAGGGTGTGTTGTGGATTGCAATATATAGAGTATTGTCTAGGTCATCCAGTGCGCGAATATCATCACAGCTGGCGGTTCTTGCGTGAGATATTGTCATATTAGCAGAGCGATACCGCCTTTGAAAGTGATCGTAACATTTCTCCTTGGTTTCACAAGAAAAAATGCAAAAATACTCCCGAGTACTGCATTCAAGAATCTCATGGACTCATTGCAAGCTGGCTTATCAGATGTCATCAAAGCGAAGTTGATACCTAGGTGTATGGAAACAGATACATAGAAAGACTTTGCTAAACAAATACCGAAAAGCTAGAATAGCATAGGCGACGTCATAATTCCGTAGTATGTCATCTTGGGTGCAATTCGCTTCTATGCCGACGACTGATATGGCTTTAGTTGAACGCTGGAAAGCCTTGAAGATGTACCAATAGATCCAGAAGAAGAGGACTAGAAATCTTATTTGCCCTATGCAAAGGGACACATAATAGAGAAAATTGTGAGTATAATCAACAAAATTACCTATAAGCATCAATATATAGGATGTCTGATGAAGAATTTTCAGTGTTGACCATATATGGTGTAGCGGGAAAGGCAATTTTACAGAATATCATACCGGAACGGTCGCTGATGTCAAAATTAGTGCTATAGTGATCCTGGCTACCATCTAGGAGCATAGGGTGTCCCGGATACCGTAGCGATACTATATCGCTACGGTAATATAACAGCTTACCGTAGCAATACCGTAGAAAGTGCGTAGCGCGTTTAGTATCTGTAATACCACGGTCGTATTATAGTAGCCCTGGCGATACTGTAATAGGGCTTTAATACGTAGCAATAATTAGATACGTATCGAACATGATACAGTATTAATCATTGATACGTAGTAACCTCTTGATACGTAGCAGTCACTATTTCGTAGTAAGGCTAAACTATAGGTCAGTGACACCCTATTCTCCTGGAAGGTACCTAGGTACCTAGGTATATATGGGTAATCCTATACAATAGATAATTAGGTAGACGAAATAATTACAAAGGCTTTTATTTTAGGAGTCTATCTAGTAGCTTAGGCGTAGATTTTCTAATTATATATATATCGAATAGTTGAATAACCGATAGTAACCTAGCTAGGGTGATCTTTGGGGTCCTAAATTATATCCGGGATACGTATTACGGCCCCTAACTATGCGAGTAACTCGAAAAGCCTTAAGATACTAGTACTTAACTCGAGAGGTTTACTGTATATTGTAGGCTTAACCTAATATATAATACTAATATTAATCTCTACCACTATACACTCCACCGCCTATTTTTACACTAGTCTTATTACACACTAATAGTCTGTGATAAATATACCCTTAATAATAATATCTACTAGATAACCTTTAAGGTCTTCGCTATAGATAAAATGAGGGGTGGTATATAATAGAGTATTAGTTATAAGAAGTCTAGATAACGAGTTTATAGGAATTGGAGACAATTAGGTAAAGCGGCTTAGGGGTATCGATAGTATATCGCTTAAGGGATCTTACTTAATATAGACTATATTACTTAAGTGTTACGGACCTATCAGGCACCCAATGACCCAAACTACCCCACCAGCATTATAGGCCATCAAGAGCCAATCAACCTAGATCATATACAAAGGACACCCCGGCCAACCAGAAATCGTGTCACGTGATCATATAGGTAGTAGACCGGTCGACGGTAGAACGATAGATTCCGCTAAGACAAATCTACTAAGCTACTATCTACCTAACTACCCCTAGGAAGATAGGAGGATATATAAGGACGTTTATTCATGTACTTAGTCTAGTTCTTTGTCTTTAATCCTATATTGTTACTTATATATACCTATACAGACTTACAACTCTTGACTAAGATATAACTTAATAAACACTACGAGTTAGACTAATACCCCGGTATAGATCTACTCGGCGCTCTACCTAGTATCGATTCCTCGATATAACTTCTAGGGACTTAGGCTATAGTAAGGCCTACGGATAAGGTAATAGCTTAGTGACGATAGATATATCGTTAATATAGGAAACCCGAGGTATATTAAGGTAACTATACCCTAAACCGCCTAACCTAACTATGACTAGTTAGCTAGTGCGTAATATATTAAAGACTATCTCGATCTTAGTCTCGAGTCTAAACAAACGACAATATATCTTAAATCGAAAAGAGAGTAGTATAGGCTCCGGTCTAGTAACCTAAGAAAGAGGAACTAGACTCCGACGACGAGAGAGATAAGATAATCGCGAAATAGGAAAAGTAACTAGCCGATCTACGATATAACCTAGAGAAGGCTATATAGGCCATCAATAATCACGACGCGAACAATAGTAGTAAGTTTGGGTAAGTCGATAACTTCCTCGAATAACTTAAGTAATAGGTAATCGTATCTACACTAGCTAGTACTGTAGGTATACCACGACTTCCTAAGGTAGAATACTTTGAAGGAACCCGATCTAAGCTTCGAGGATTCCTTATGTAAATAGATATACACTTAGATATAAACCGAGATAAGTTACCTAGTGAAGCTAGTAAGGTGATTTTTGTATCTACTTACTTACGCGGATAAGCCTAGAACTAGCTCGAGCTATATATACGTAACTACTATAAAAAGATACCGGAAGAATAGTCTTTTACCACTACTTCTATCTTTAAAAGCTATACTAGCTTTAGATAATACCTAGAACGAATATTCGGAGATATCGACGCCTAATAAATAGCCGAAAGAAGATTATAGAAGATTAAGTAGTAGGGTAGTGTGTTAGTCTATATCTCTGAATTCTAGTAGATTATATCCTACTTAGACTTACCTAATCGAGTGTATATTCTATACTTCGAAGTAGGGTTAAAGCTAGAAGTTAAGGATAAACTAGTATAAATCGATAGACCTAACACTTTAGACTAACTTATCGCTATTATAGTTAAGATTAATAACTATATTAACAAGAGATATTATAAGCGATAAGAAATAGAGTAGTAGAAGAAGGGTAAATTATATAGATTTAATCGATTTCGATAGTATAGGCGCTATAAGAAAGTACTATATAATAATAATCTATATAGCCCGAAACCGATAGAGTTAGATACCACTTAAGATAAGTAGAAAGAGCGTCGGTAGAAAAACCTTTGTTTTATATATAGGAAACTAGGACACTATATTTAAGAATATAAGAATAAGAGGCCTAATAGACTAAGGCCTAGGTACTAGGCTCTATGTAAAGAACTACGTACAATATATAAATAGATACCATATAAAGAACTATATACGATATAAGAAAACGAATACCTAATCAGTGAGTTATTAGAAGATCTCTTAGTAAGATAGAATAACCTAAGCCTAGAAGAGATATTGGCTGGTAACCTATATATTGAAAGGTTGGCTAAAGGACTATAAGCGGAATTCCTAGAAATTAAGTGGGATATAATAGAAAGTCAAGGATAGACCTAGTATATAAACCTAGGAGATAGCGACTCCTAGGAAATAGGTAACAACTTTTAGGAGTAAGAAGTAGGTTACCTAGGAACACTAGTCACGTCCCTAGGAAACTAGGAGAACCTAGAGACCTCCTAAGGGGCTAATTATAGCGTAGAGCCTAATATACCGCTAAGGATAAACCGAGCGATCCTAATTAAGGGACTTAAAGACTTAGAAGAAGGAATACCTAAGTACGACCATAGATAGAACTATAGGGAAGCTAAAATAGAGCTTTAGGACTACCTCTAAGAATAGAGTTAGGTCGATATATTAGAAGGAAGGATACTTGATATCATAAATAGAAACAATCTAATAGGATACCCTTACAACAATTCCGCTTACGTATATAGAGGATATATATAATACCTAGAGTATAGTAGGGTGGCTAGCGTGATATACTATAATAAACTATACACAATTTATAGGTCCGGTAAGTTAGATCTAGGTATCGAACCAAGGCTACTAGCGTGGATAAAGAAACTATAATAGCGAAAAGAATACTAAGGAATTTAGTATAATAGGCGATAAATATATGATTATCGGAACTAGCTAACCGAATATCTTACCGCGATAATATCGGGAACCTATATTAAACTCTATATAGAGTTACCTACCGGAAAAGCCTAGACACTTATTGACTTAGGGGCCATAAATAACTTTATAAGCCTAATATTCTAGGAAGAACAAAGAATTTAAACCTAAGGATTACCTTATATAATCCTAGTTAGCGGACTAGA